TATGAGTGGCCCGCATTCCCGAGACTGAGGGATAGGGTTTCTGGGAAAGATGTGACTGAGTGTTAATCGGAAGCACTTTTTCAATTTTTGATTCTACATTTTTTAAATTCTATTTTTCATCGTCTTCATTTACCCTAAACTCCTTTTTCTTATCCCATATTTAGTTTTTTTTGTTATTTTACCCCTCTTCTGTTTTCTATCTTTTCCTTGGTATCACTCTTCATCTTCTTAACTGTCTTACTCGCTTAGCTGGAACAGCACCGTCAACGAGAGCGCGATGCTTTGCTACAGCAGAAAGCAGTATTGGAGGCCCGTCTTAATCTTATCCTTACTAGGCGCAAGGAGTCCACAAGGCTTCTTGAGGTGCTTATATCACGAGCTCAGGTAGGCTTCCACTTTAATTATGATAATATCTTGCACGTTATTTTGGCTCTTATAGAAGTCAACTACAAGAGCATGCTTGCATATTTGTATACTATTAAACTTAGAAAAGAATTTTTAGTTTTATTGCTAATTTGACTAATCCTAGGTAGCTTAAGCTAATTCTAGGGCTGATAATGCTGGTTTGAACTCGTTTTGCAGCTTGGTCGGTGCGGCAGGAAGAACTCGTGGAACATAGCCAGTTTTGCGTTCTTTGACATAATATTTATGATAATTTCTACCATTGAACTGTTGATTGGGTACATTTCCAAACGTTTCGCTGGGATCGTCGGTGGGAGGCGTCATCCTCAGCACAGTGTTGCAACTTATCAAAGTGGCATGCGAAGTCAATCCCCTTAACCACTTTTCTGTTTAACTGTTGAGGCTTGTCACTGGTAAGTTGTAATTGTGCTAAGGTTGAAGACTCTCTCTGACGATATCGGCGAAATCTATGTAAATGGGCCAATTCAATGGCCCGATGCTGGAAATTATCATGAATATTATGGCAGAAGAAGCGGAACTACGTACGGTGCACAAGGTCTTCCTGTCGATCATACCAAGTCGCGAAATCGAGGTCAAACTGGCACTATACAGCTAATAATAACTGCCACCAAGCCCAAGGCCACACTATATTGTTCTTCATATTTCTGATTTAAGGGTTGGTTGCTGAATTTTCCATACTGAATTGTGTATGTGAACTTGAAATTTACTTAGCTTTGCCTATCAGGAGGTTTTATTGTCCAGATTAACCGTAGGTTTGACCCATCATTTTGTCACCATAATCCTAAATCTAATCTAAATAGGATCGAATGTGTAAAGTAGAAACACGTTACCACTCCGCCATATCCATGAGTGCCAGCTGGCCACAGGGCAAATCTGAGGTTCAGGATAAAGTTATTATTCTATTTTTTTTACTGGTAGTGCTAAAATATACATCGAATATAAGTTATTTTATCTTTGGTATGGAAAGTACAGGTTTGCAGTATCTAAAATCCCATTATAAATGCGATTTGATAGAGGTCTAAATTGTGGTTGTGTAAAGGAATGCTAACGTGCAACTACTTTACGTGAACGTCTTGAATTATCTGACTTTTATTTAGACTGTTGTACATTACTTCCTCTTGTGCCTCTTCTCATATAGGTATGCTTTTCCGGGCCTTTTTATCCAGACATTTCTCATTTACTTCTAAGGAGTGCAATGTACTTAACTTAATGCTTAATTCACTTGTAATATAATTATTTACTGTCTTTCGGCTATTAAAATCTAATACAGTGTTGATATCTTTAAACTTTTATAAAATCAACTAGCCCCTGCAATAGTCATTCGTTCCAATTAGGGTTTTCTCATTTTGCCTATTTCTCCAGGCTCGTCATTGCATACTTTTGAAAGGCATCCAGGCGTACAAGGAAGCCAAGTCAGAGGCTAAGAAGCACAAGCGCCAGCTTGAGAAGCAGAGGGCCCGTCAGCGGAGATCCGAGCTAAAACTCCCACTAGATAATCATCAGATTACGTGCAAAATTATGCATCCTGGAATAGGTGCTAGTTGTTTACCCGCTGGCCAGGAATTAGCCATCACCAAGAATCTCTCGACAAATCGGAGGCCGGACGTAAAAACATTACAAATTCAGACCAGGTATATGGATATGACTAGATAATTTTGATCAGAATCATTTGGTTGGTAATTAAAGCTTCTGCAAATACTTTTTCGTCTTGATTATTCAATCACTTTATCTTTACTACTGGAACATAGGCTTTCACAGAAGACTTATTGATAGATTATTCGTCTAATATTTGTCCATACTATTTATTGGTCTTATATATATGCTCCTAATTAATTGAATTTAGAGGCACCATATAAATTACTGGATTATCTCATTGGGGTGCCAAGAAATAAATTGGGAACCATAAAGGCCAACTAACCCGAATCAATCAAATGTGGATATTAAATGAACCTATCCAAAG